AAAAGAGTAAAATGCATAATCCATAGAAAAAGGCTCGTATTATGGTTACCCATTTTACAAAAATGACAAAAACAATCATGCAAACTCTGACCAAGACATTACAAATGAGTGTAAATACATTATCACTAACCCTACCCCTCAAAGATATGTATATTGGCTTTAGTATAATCATAACCATATCATCCTTATTTAAAAAAAAAACTTATTATTTTGCTTTATATATGGCCCAAATTTCACCCTCTATCCCACCTCTACTCTTCCTGAAAGCCATACCTTATAACAAAGAATTTTGTTTTAAAAAAGGAAGATGAATTAATCAATCAATTAATAAAAAAAAAAAACCTATGTGCAATCACACACTCCTGAAGATTCCCCTCCCCCACTTCCTTTTTAGAGAGGCATATATTCACATATCTCTTCTGTAGGTCAATCTTATTCTTCTAATTTTGCAATATTCATTCCTGATTGTTTTATGGTTATTCTTTTCATTTACATTGTTGTAGTCACTGTGCACATTATTTTCTTGGATCTGCTTACTTCACTTTGCACCAATTCATTAAAGTATTTCCATGCTTTTCTGTATTCATCATCTACATCATTTCTTATTGCACAGTAATATTCTATTACCTTCAATTGTCCCAATTTGCTTAGCTATCCCTCCAACTGATGGACATCTACTTTGTTTCCAGTTCTTTGCTACCAGCAAAAAATATTTTGTTGTATATGGAACCTTTCATTTTGTAAGCTACCTAGTTGCGTGTATGTTTGGGTCAAAATGTATAGGAGTTTTATCCATTTTATTTGCATGATTACAAATTGCTCCTTAGAATGGTTGTATCAATTTACAATTCCACCATCATCCTTACTTTTCTCATCCTTTTTGTCTATTTTTATTGTGTATAATGTGGATTTATTGCCATTCTTATTTACTCTATATGGCTGTGATGTTTTAAATGGAAGCTACTTTCTTTACTCTACTTAACTTCATAGAAGGCTTCCCATATATATACATACATATATATATATATATATATATATATATATATTTTAAAATGTGTTCTATTCACTTATTTTCAATGACGTAAAATTATTACACTGTCAATTAATTGACATATCATCATTTGTTCAGTCCTTTCCTAATCACAGGATATCTGGTTTTGTTTTCCCCCCCGTAGTTCTTCACTATACCAAATAGTGCTTCTAAGAACATCTTTGTACAGATAAGTCTTTTTTTCTCCTATCAATGATTTTTCAACTGTCAATAACCTCTTGGGATATAGTCTTGGTAATGAGAACACTGAATCAAAGCTTTCTTTTTTTTTTCACAATTCTTTTTGCAGAATTTCACAGCAAGCAGTAGCATGGAAGATTAGATAGAAGACTGGTCCTAAAGTCAGGTAGAGCCGCATTCAGGTCCTGCCTCTCAAACATATTACTTGACACTTAATTTCTCAGCATCACTAGTTAATACTCCAGGACCATAAAGTTAACAGATAAATTACCAGTCTTTGGTGGAAGCATGTTATCTACATGGCTTGGAATGAGCATAACTAGCAATTGTTTTCTATTCTGGCCAGAAACTTTGAGGGTTTTCACCTCCCATACTGATATCTTTGGGATAGTAAATTGGGCCATGTTTTGTCTCAGTTCTTACCTAGCCCTTAGTAATTGAAGGGTATAGCCTCAGACAAACTGAGACCTGGGAAAGACTTTAATTTTAAAAGGCCAAGGTTGCCCACTGCATCCTGGGCATTGCCAGGTGTCTTGACCTTTGTCTTGTTACTGACTGTGATGACTCTGGAGAAGAGAGTGAGACTGATGACTTTGCAGTGCTCTGCCTCACTCAATTCCAACTCACACACAAGTCAAGACATCATGAATGTGATAACATCAGTCCTCTTCAAAAACAAATGATGAACAACAACCGGTACTCTAGGTCTAAACAAAAAAAAAATAATTTTGCTTTATTTATTCTTTAAAATCTCATGTCAAATACTTTCTCCTTTATGTAGCCTTGACTGTGTTCTTTAGACTAGTATTTTTAAAAAATTCTCCAAGGTCTACCTTATGTCATATTGTATATTACAACTATCAGTGTCGGTATCTTGTATCCTCTACTATATTCCATAAGCGCAGGGATTATGGCTTATTTAAACTTTGTGCCTTGGCTAAAATGCAACAAGTGTACCACATGCACTAGTACACAGTACAGACTGGAAAACAGTATTTTGTTTGCTATTCTGTAATGATTGTTAATGTCAACTGGACCAGAACTGCCCTCTCACCTGTGGGTGGCTGGAGCCAAACAAACAGAGCAGCCTGGAGACAGGAGAGTCAGGACACAAACAGAAGTTTAGTTAATTTCAGAGTGGGGAAAATGGCATATGTATATGGAAGCCCTCCTGCTAAGAAGGAGGGCTTACAGCTGCTAAGGCTAGGGCCACTTATACACATGAAAGGGCTGGGCCCACAACACAATCACTCTTAGATTGTGAGATAGTTCTCATAGTTGGCATTTCTTGGGACAATACAGGCATTCTTGGGTTCCATGAGAACAGTCACCATCTCAGGTCTTAAGGGTCATGGTCACCCTGCCAGATACAGAACCAAGAGTACAGTACCTATCAGTGACAAGGAACAAGGACTGTGAATATGTGATGGATGGGCCTGGTTCTGGTCCGAGCCATATGCTTTGCAAGAGGGTGGTATCATCCTGAGTGCAAAGGATTAGTTATGCCAAGCTCAGGACACAGTTTGCTATCTGGGCCTTAGCTCTGGAAAATAGTGTATCTCCAAAATATTTTGACAGTATAAAATTAAGATTTATCAATTTTAAAAAATTAGAGAAAAAAATCACAGCCTAGCATGCTAAGTCTCATTTTCCTCAACTACAAAACACACGGGTTGAATTATATATTAGAGAGGAGAGAAAACAAGAATTTACTATGCACCAAGTACTTTACAAATATCCCATTTGATACTCACAACAATCTTGTGAGATAGATACGTACTAATATCCCTATTTTAAGTTGAGGAAATAAAGACAGTTTTAGTGACTTGCTCAGTACTGCACAGCTAGTAAGTATTTGAGGCCATATCTGCACTCTGGTCTTTCTAAAGCTAGAAACAGAATTCTATCCCCTCTGCCAGCTAGCTGCATATAGATTCTTTCACCTCTAATGTGTTAGAATTGAAAATGGGGCTTAGAGATTATTTATCTCAGTGTTTCTCTGAAATGAGGAAGTGATCACCAAGGATCTGGCCAGCAGCAAATCTTAAAATTTAGTCCAACTTCCTTATTAAGGAAAATAAGGCTCAGAGAGGTGATGCCTTTGTCATTTTGCAGGAATGTCAAGTTGTTTTTGTTTGTCCTTTGCTCTCCAAGAGGACCATGCCATCATGGAGGTGATGCCTTGACAGAGGGGCTGTGCAAAGTCACCAGCCTCACTTTCTCCTCAGAAGTCATCTGGGTCCACTGGCAAGATATAGATCAGGAGGACTGGAGATGGCCCTCAGCTAGAAGGCAGAATCTTGCTTCAAGGCAGAGGTGGAGGATGGATAGACCATAGTGTGTAGGAGGTACAATACCTGCAAGTCAAATATTTACTACATGTCTTATTATACTCAGAGGCAACCTCATGCGATGGACCTTTCATGATATCTCTCTCACACACACACCCCATGTTGTTACCTTTCTTCCTCTTCCAATTGTCACTCTACCAGTGAAGGGAAAGGAGATCCTGGTATCTGGAAGCTAAGAGCCTAGGATCAAATTCTGGACCTGCCACTTACCTTCGGCAAAACACAAGTGTCTAACAACTTCCTTGTTGGTAAAACGTGTGGGATCCACTACTTCTAAGTTTCCTTTTTGTTCATATCTCTGAACCTATTTTGTCTTCCTTAGGTAGAACTGAAACTCCAAGGGGGCAGCAATTCACTTTTTCTTTTTTGCATCTCCAGCACCTAGCAGGGTATCTTAAGGTTAAATGGATACCCACTGAGTATCAGGCCACTGAGGCTCAGGAAATTGAGTACACAGCTGGCAGATGATGTGAACAGGGGGAAAATCCCCATCCCCCAGGTAGGCCTTCAGTAAGCAGAACACCTTTCGATCCCTCTCCTCCCCCCATCTTTAGGAAAGGAGCTGGAGCAGGCAGCTGTCGGGGTCTCCCCGCCTCCCTCATTTCAGCCTCGGGATGAGATCTCAGGCTACAACCGGGATACCTGGGGCTGATGTCAGCAACACAAAAACAAAACCTGAGCCGAGGTCAAGAAATGAAGTGGGGCCAGGGCAGCCTCAAATAGCAGCATTTGGGCCCAGCGCCCTGGTCCAACCCTACCCCCATCCCCGGGGGCACCTGGAATGCCAGAAGTGCCCCCATTCTCACCCCACAGCAGCAGATATCTAGGCCACCGCCAACTGCAGTAGCAGCCGCCGCAGCTTCTTCCCTACTCCTCCTGCCGGGGAGAGCACTGCGCAAGCGCGTGCTCCTAAACGGCTACCCCACTCTCAATGGCCTGACTCCCGCCCTTCCCCGGTTTCCCAAGGCAGGGAGAAGGGAACCCCAAATCGGCCCCGGGCCCCAGAAGAAGTAGGAATGAATCAGCTGATTGCACCCGGAGATGCTTTTGGAAAGCTTTGGATCCTCGATTTTTAAATCAAGTAAGGGTGATCTGAAGTTATTGTTTGGGGAAAAAGTATCATGGGGGGGAGTAGCTGAAGCAGCAGATAAAGTTATTAATATAACCCTATTTAGTATATCTTCACTTTGCAGAAGAATAAATGGTCTGTTTTTTTCAGTTGCAGTGTTTTCCATCTCATAAAAAAAAGTGGGTAGAGTGTACCTCTATCAAAGAAGGGGCAATAAGGGGATTGCTTCTGGTCCCCTGGGCCTGTGTGAATTTAAACAAAATTCAGCTGGGTTACCACATAAGAAAGTGAAACTTTAAAACTTACATAATAGTCTACTTCCCCTATGTACAGATTACAAAAATTGGAAATTTCTCCTCCCCAACCCATTTCCCCACCTATATCGACTCTTGTCTTCCCCTTGCTCTACTGAAGAGAGCAAAGACCCAGCCGAGAAAACCAGGCAGGGGCAGTACGTGCCAGATCTAGGGGTTCGGAGGAGAAAGGCAAGAGAGGAAGGAGGCCCATGGAGCGGTTTAAGTCTGTGTTGGACCTGTTCGTCAAATACCACACTGTTTTAGGCTATAGCTTCTTGAGCCTGCTGGCAGCTGGCGGGGAGAGCCTCTTATCCAGTGTAGTGTTCCAATGCCCCTGCAGCGCTACCTGGAACCTTCCCTATTCCCTCGTCTTCCTCCTGGTTCCCGCCCTGATCCTCTTCCTTCTAGGCTGCCTGTTGAGCACCCGGGCCAAGCGGCTCGTGACAGGTTGCTGTGCGCCAGGTCGAGGGGAAGAAGAGTTCAGTGAAGCAGGCCAGGACTTGTGCACGGGGATGGTGACATGCTGTCACTTCACCTTGGCCTCTGCTGTAGCACCTATCACTTGGATCGCAGTGGCATTACTCGGGGGAGGTTTCTATGAGTGCGCAGCCAGTGGGAGCACCTGGGTATCTTGGCAGTTGTGCCCAAATCAAGAGGTCAATTGTTCCAAGCAGCTGCCACAGGTGCCCTGCCAGAAAGGAAAGCCGGAGTGGATCCAGGATGTCTCGAAGGAACTCAAGGCGCATTCCCAGGTGAAAATTCCTCATAATTTCAGCTCAATGAGAAGCAAGTGGAAAAATGCTAGTCACAAAAGCCAGGGTTGGGGGCAGAGTTGAGGAAGGGCTGAAGAGAGAGGAGATGGAAAGATAGAAGAGAGGAGGGAGGTAGTTTAGAGAGAGATTCAACTAGCACACATGAATGGAAGTAGAAACCTGTGACCTTCCATTCAGTCCAACTCAAATGCCATTATTTTCAGGAAGGCTACCTACCACATTGTGGGCTTATTAAATGTTTATTGAATGAACGAACGAATGATTCCTTTATCAGAAAGGAACCTTCTTCCTCACGCTTTGTTTTGCCTGCTCTCAAATGCATGTTTCATGTATTCTTTTGTGTCTTGTAGTCATTTGTGTTTGTGTATTATTCCCTTAACCAGGCTGTAAACTGGCTGAGAGTCTCTAATCTAATCTTTGTAATGTTCTCCCCCAGACACCTATCAGTGCTATGGATTCAATAACTGAATAAATGGCCAACGAATAAGTGAATTTTAAGTTCTCTTTGCAAAAAAAAAAAAGATGAAAGAATTGTTTTCTCTCATACCTAGAATCTTCAACATACTAAGAAATAATCGTACTAAATGGCAATAAATAATCAACCAATTAACATTTATTAAGTGCCTATTATGTGCCAGGCACCATGTTAAACATGGGGATACAAAAAGAGGCAAAAGATAGTCCCTGCCCTAAAGGAGGTCACAATCTGATGAGGGAGACAATTGGCAAACAACTATGTCCAAAGCAAGGTATATGAAGGATAATTAAGAAATAATTAAAGGAGAGAAAGCACTGGAATTAAGACAATTTAGGGAGAGTTCCCTGTAGAAGGTGAGATTTTAGTTGGGACTTGAGGGAAGCTTCCATTTAAGGGTATATGGTTTGGGTTCTTTCTCCTAGTGCCCTGACATTCCTGGAAATATGAATGACTCCACAAATTACAGATGCCTCTTGAGAATGATGGCAATACTGCTTTCTAGTTTCTTTAATTTAATTTAAGCATAATTTATCAAGCATTTGCTATGTGTCAGGCACTGTTAAGTGCTGGAGATAAACAAAAATTTGTCATGCAGAGCTTATACTCTTCAAGGGGGAAAAAATGTTTGTACTAATAAGCAAATATTTAATTTGTACAAAATAAATGCCAAGCATGAGGGACCGGGTGGAGAAAGACTGTCAACTGAGTGAATCCAGAAAGGTCTCTTACAAAAGATGACACCTGAACTAAGCCTGGAGTAGATAATTAGGAATGGTTTTGTTGAAGAGGTGGAATTTGAGTGAGGTTTTTAAGGCTTGGTAGAGACTCAATAGCCAGAGATTCCAGAAGGCAGAGCTTAGGAAGGAGAACATTCTAGGTACAGAGGCGAGAGATAGAACATCCTCTATAGGGAACATTAATTTGTCCACATGGGCTGGGATGAAAGTCTCAGAGGCTAAATTCTGATGGTCTAAATTAATTTGTTCTAATAGGAGGCCGTCCCACCTGTATTAAATGCTGAAGACTTCTCTCCTATATGAATTGTCTGATATCAAGTTAGCTGTTTGTTAGGTGTGGCCAAAAGTTTCACCACATTCATTGTGTTCATAAAGTTTCTCTCAGCAAGAATTCCCCATCCTTGCGAACAATAAACTTTTCAGAAGGGATTAATTTTCTATTTCTTTTGAAATTAAATTGTAACCCAAATGATGTCTTTTTGGACTGTGTCCTGCAGGTGGCAGGTTGGACCCTGATAGCTCTTGTGGTGATTGCTCTTCTGATTTTCACATCCATCATTAGATGCCGATCTCCAGTTAATTTTCTTCACCGTAAGTTCTGGAAACTATATTGTCGAAAGGAAGAAGAGATGTTGATGAATGAAGCTAAGAAGCATGCTACTGAATTGGCAGAAGAGAATGTCAAATGCTTCTTTGACAGCTCCCAGCCAAAAGAGTTCAGAATACCAAATTATAAAGACTGGGAGAATATCTCATTGCAATATACATTCAGTCCTGGAAGTCAATATTACAGTATATTACACAAGTATGTTAACAAACAGAAGGATGACTGTAATATTCAACCATGAAGTAAAGAAGTTGTGAATCCTATTCTAAGTTTTGTGGATTCACCTGATTTTACCAATTCTATTAATGTAATATAATAATAAATAAACATTATATGATACAGCATAATGTTTTATGTAGAACAACATAACTATATGTAGAAAATATTTCCTATTTCTACTTCCTTTTGATAGACAGTAATTTTGCTAATAAACAGGTTTGCAATTCTACCATAATTTGCTTTTTGGTGGTGATACCTTTGCTGTTTCATTGACTCATAAAATTAGCAGTATTCATATTGACCTGGAGATAACAGGAGCCACTGGAGTTCATTGAGTTGGGTGTGTGTGTGTGTGATGACTGTACCCAAACTTTAGGAAAATCACTTTAGTAGCTCTATGAAAGAAGGACTGGAGTAAGAAGAGCCAAAATGGGGATATCAGTTAGGAGGCCATCCCAATAAACATTATCAGCATTTTGGACAAGGGGGCAATTAATTCAAGTATAGAAGATAGTGTATGGTTGAATTAGTTTGCCAGGGAGTGAAGATATGAAAGGAAGAAGAGTGTAACCAGTGCAGGGGTAATATCCTAAAGAAGATTTAGGAGTGAAGGGCTTGGAGTTCATGATGAGAACTAAGAACTAGGTTAAGGGTTACAGGCATGGGGAATGTTGGGATGATAAGGATTATGATCAGATAAAGGAACTCTGGAGTTTGTGAATACAGAAGTATTTTTGTTGTTCTTTAGTCATGTCTGACTCTTCATGACTATTTGGAATTTTCTTGGCAAAGATACTAGAGTGGTTTGCCATTTCCTTTTCCAGCTCATTTTACAGATGAGGAACTGAGGCAATCAGGGTGAAGTGACTTGCCCAGGGTCACACAACTAGTAAGTATCTGAGGCCAGATTTGAACTCAGGAAGATGAGTCTTCCTAACTCAGACCCAGCAACCTATCCACTGTGCCACCTAATCACCCAGGGAAATATTTTAGGTAATGGAAAAAGTAAGGGCATGATCATTTATATGTGTGACTGAAGTGGAATGAGTTAAGGGAATTGAATAGATTGGGGAAATGAAATTTAGGGTATTTGGGGAAGCATAAGTCTGTTAGTTCCCCCAGAATGAGGACAGAAATTAGAGAGGAGAGAAAAACTGTGAACCGGATATTGAATTCTTTGAGGAAGTAAGGAGAATATGCTGTGGGTTGATAGTTAAAAGTCATTAGGATCTGGATTGAGTGGTAAATTGAATGGGAAGTTACTGAGTGACAACAGTAGTGGGAGAATCTGGAAGTGATAATGGGGAGCAAGATGATTTTGAGCAGTATGAGAGAAAGTGTAGCCAGAAGTGGACAGGCTAGCAAGGGAAGAGATGTCATTAGGAGGCAGCCGGGTCTCAGTGAGTACCAGAAGGTGGAAGGAGTGAGAAAGAGGTTTAAGATGAAAGTAGATTGGGTAATTATGGAATAGACATTTCAGAATGCACAGTGGAAGGAGTGGGAAGATCTGGAGTGGGGCATTTGGTGGGGGTAGAGATTGATGATAGTAAGGAAGTGAATAGCTGGGAATGGGGGAAATGGTTTACATAACAGTTGTGAGGATGAATTTCAGAATTACTGGAATGAGAAGCTTATAAGGGAGTGGGTATATGTTAATCATTAATGAGTAAGTTTATGCAGGGTAGCAATGGTTGAAGAGAGGTCTGCTGAGAGATTCAAATAATTAGACTGTTCTAGGCCCTTATGGCAGGTTGTGATGATAGCCCTACGAGGGCTGTCTTATAAGCCGTTAGAGCAGGAAAAGGTATAGGAACTCATTGGGAGGTGGTGTTTACTTTTTTAAACTGGGGAAGGCCCTGGGGAATAAAAAGTGGAGGGAGTCTTGTCCTGAAGCTGGCCTGTCTGGGAGATTGAATGCTAGTGAGTGTTGGTAGTTGTACTCAGAAACTTAAGATCTTCCCCTTTGGCCATCTGATGTTGACCTTGAACTCACTTTCTTGCAAACTGCGTCTAGCCCAGAGTTGCAGTGACCCTAGCATGTTATACTAGACAGACAACATGACATGAAGCAGCAATATATATTTCCCTCAAGTGTGAAATCTATGATTTGAGAAAAGGTGTTTTATTTGGTATCTGGAGATTTCCATATTTGTTTTGTTTGAGAAAAAGTTATGTGACTAAAGAAGAATCAGAAGGTGTTTGTTTTGGAGGAATGAGAAAGAAAAAGAAAAGAAAAATGAAACAGAGAAAACTAGCAGAATACACCACTGAGAGAGATGGCTAAAAAATTACTGGAAAAAACTGTTAAATAGGATTCTGGGAAAGATACCCAAAAGATCTGAATGAACTGAAAAAAAAGAAAAAATAAGCAGAACTAGGAAAGCACTTTACATGACCACAATAATATAAAAGAAAGCAATATTGAAAGACTTCAGAACTATGTTCAATCCAGTGACCAAAAAGGATTTCAGACAACTGACAATTAAACATTCCTCTTGTCTGTTGTAAAAAAAGTGGTAGAATATCAGTTCAGAATGAGGCATGCATTGTCAGACATGGCTAATGTGTGAATTTGTTTTGCTTAATTGTACTTTTTTGTTTTAAGCAGGGTTCTGTTGGAGATGGACAGGAAAAGTCATTGTAAAGGGATCCTTAGGAAGTGACAATATTAAAAAAAAAACCTAAGAAAATGTTTAAAGAGAAAAAAAGAGCAAAATTTAAGTTCTAATCCTGTTGAGTAAAGAGTTTTAATTTTTATTGGGGGTTTTTTGGTATTGTTGCCAATGTGCTATTTGAAACTTTCGAAACTTTGGCTATACACTGCCCAAACAACTCCTTGTGGGTTTAATCATGGCCAGGACTTTGAGCTCTTCTATCTAGTGGTCATTTTTTTCCCCAAGAACCAGTTGCCAGGGACTCTTCCAAAAACCCAGTTAGCACAAACTTAGGATCCAGGATCTCAAGATCTCTGACTCACAAGATAGCCTTCATGTCTGGACACTTCCACCTTATGATCAATGTTCAGTTATCTGAGATCAGACAAAGAAACACAAAGCATAAAAAGCAGCTAGAAGATAAGGCTCAAGATTGCCTAAATGAGTAATAGTATTGTAGCTGTGACATGGGAGCAGTTAATATGCTGTGAGGGCAGGGGTAGGGGCAAGGGCACCAGGTGTTTAAAAAAAAACAGCTTTAAAAATACAGGATAGTGGAGACATGATTGGACAGCCATTTTTCAGGAAAAGAAAATGATCAAAGCATTTTAGTGGATTGTAAGCTTTTCAGCCTCTGACTAAGATCAAATGTAGTATGTGTTCTTATCAGTTTAATATCTTTTATGTCCTCAATTTGAAAAGGACATCTAGGTGGCACAGGGGATAAAGAGCCAGGCTTGAGGTCAGGAAGATTTCATCTTCCCAAACTCAAATTTGGTCTCAGACATTTATTAGCTATGTGACTCTAGGCAAGTCACTTAACCCCTTTTGCCTCAATTTCCTCATTTGTAAAATGAGCTGGAGAAGGAAGTGGCAAACCACGTTAGTATCTTTGCCAAGAAAACCCCAAATGGGGTCACAACTGAAAGGGCTGAACAAGAACAAAAGCTCAAGATGATTGTGCAGTGTGATAGATCAGCCAAAAAGCCCATGTGGTTTTATTCTACAATAAGAGGACTATTTCCTGGAAGAAAGTAGGTGATAGTTTTTGTAGTCTGCCTTTGTCAGGTGTCATCTGCGTATTGTTTTCAGTTCTAAGCGTCATGATTTAAAAGGACATGGATAAACTGGAGAGTTTCTAGAGTAGGGTATCAAGGGTGTTGAAGAGCCTTGAATCCATGGCAGATATACGAGGACAGGTGGGAGAACCTGAAGATATTCAGCCTGGAAAAGAGAAGCCTCAGGGCAGAATGTTGAAGCATTTGTGGGGATGCTTTGTGGATGACAGATTATACCCATTTTGCCACCGAAAGTAGAATCAGAAATAATTCATGAATCTTTCAAAGAGGCAAAAATAGGTTTGATATCAGGAGAAAAAAAACCCAAACTTCCTGATAATTACCTTTGTTCAAAAGTGGAGAAGTTCCTCTGGAGATAGTTCTCTTTGCTTAGAAGTCTTCAAGCAAAGACTAGAGAGTCACTTGCCAGGTAAGTTGGAGTGGAGGTTTCTGGGGGAGTATTGGTTGGACTGGACAGCAGATGATGTCCCTTCCAATTTGTATTCTGTGATTCTATGTAAACATGATATCTATCTAAAAGAATATAAGCTCCTTGAGGACAAGGACAGTTTTGTTTTGTCTTGTATATAGTAAGCGTTTCATAAATGTTTGCAGAATTAAATTCAACTGTCTACTAAAAGGAAGGTTACAGTCTGATCTGGTGAAGAGAATCTGCAAATACTGTAGTCTATGGTCACCCTCCCTGATTTTGCTCATAGTTGTAAACACAATTACAGGGTTGTTGTTGTTTTTTTCATAGTCTTTTCTGAAATTTTCAAATAAACTCAAATATAATTTAAGTACCTGTCAAGTTAAGGATGCTTTCCATCTTCTGACCCATACTTTAAAAATAAACTCACTTTAGATAGATCTTCTAAAGTCACCAACATTGCATAATCTTAGACAAATGGCAGATGTTCTTGGAACCTTGTAAACTTGGACATGCTAAGAATTATGCCTTGAATGGTTGTATGCAGTGGGTGTGGTAGCTACAAAAGATGCTATAGAACACATGCCAAGATGAATAAATCTTCCAAATGACCATTCTGCTCCAGCTGAGATAATCTCTTCCTTCTTTGGATTTCTCTCTACTCTTCAATCAGTACTTCATTATATATATTGACTTTTGCTCTCTTCGTTGGCATAATGAAATTTAGCATTTTTTAGTATCAGGATGTAGTGACTAGACATATTATTTGCTAAGTATTTCATGATATGGTCTAGTAGAATCACACTGAATAAAAAAGCATACATGGTACTATGAGATTGTGGATCCTTTCATATATATATATATATATATATATATATATATATATATATATATATATATATATATATATATATATATACATATATATATACACATATATATATACACACACACACATATACATACACACACACACACACACACACACACACACACACACACACACATATATATATATATATATATATATATATATATATCACACACATATATACATATACATATCTCTCTGGCACATGCTTAACAAATGTTT